TGATGGATGTCTTCAGAAGGCTCATGATGCACTGAGCATTGTTATGGTAATGTTATAGGTTGTAATTTCATGTATATAGTTATGAGGCTGAAAATGTGTCCTCGTGGCTTAAAACAAACCCAGGCAAAACTCTCCAGGAACAGAGGGGCAGTTCACACCTCATCAGGTGTGCCTACACCCAGCCAGCCTCACAGGAACAAAAGACATTGGCCTAGGCAGCAACAAAGGATCTGTTGGACTCTGGAGTGTCACCCCCCTTCTCTTGGTTAGTTTGGGACTACGATGAGGTAATGCTCTCCTGACCCTGAAGGGGTGGTGGGGGGAAAAGCCAAGAAGGAAGAAAGAACATGATAAAAGGGAGAGATGTTTGCCATGCTCTTCCTCTCTCTCCCACCTCCATCTACAGACACCAGCATCAAGGAACTGAAGTGCTGATCAAAGGGGAGAGCCTGGCTGATGGGCAACCAGCCAGCCTATGGTGAGAAGCATCTAAGTTTATAAGGGCACTGAAAGTGTTAAGATCAGCTTAAAATGTATTTTCCTTTTATTTCATTTGACCAAATCTGACTTCTTGTGCTTTAACTTATAATCACTTAAAATCTATCTTTGTAGTTAATAAATCTGTGTGTTCATTCTACTGAAGCAGTGCATTTGGTTTGAACCACGTCAGAGGCTCCCCTTGGGATAACAAGCCTGGTACATATCAATTTCTTTGTTAAATTGACAAACTCTCATAAGCTTGCAGCATCCAGCAGGTATAACTGGACACTGCACGACGGAGGTTCCTAGGGTTGTGCCTGGGACCGGAGATATTGGCTAGTGTCATTCAGTTGCACAATCCAAGCAGCAGCTGGACAAAAGTGCTCACTGACGTAGCTGGGAGCAACTCACATGCTAGAGGCTGTGCATGAACAACCCGGGAGTGGGGGTTCTCACAGCAGAGCAGGGTAAGGCTGGTTCCCAGAGTCGAGGATTGGAGTGACCTGGCAGATCACTGGTCCAGATAACACCAGGGGAACATCAGTCATATGTAAGACATGGGAGGTAATTGTCTCACTCTACTCAGCAGTGGTGAGGCCTCAGCTGGAGCACTGTATCCAATTCTGGGCACCACACTTCAGGAAAAATGTAGACAAAGTGGAGCGCCCCCAACTGGAGAGCAACAAAAATGATAAAAAGTTTAGAAAACCTAACATACAAAACAGGTTAAAAAAAAACTTGGCCTGTTTAGGCTTGAGAATAGACAACTGTGGGGCTGGCCTAATAATAGTCTTCAAATATCTTAAGGGCTGTCATAACGAGGAGTTATTTAGTTGTTTGCCACGTCCTCTGAAGGCAGGACATGAAGTAATCAGATTAATCTGCAACAAGAGAGATTTAGGTTACATACTAGGAAAAGCTTTCTAACTATAAAGTTAGTTAAGCTCTGGAACAGGCTTCCAAGGGAGGTTGCGGAATCTCCAACATTGGAGGTTTTTAAGAATAGGTTAGAGTTGGACACCCCTGTCAGCGATAGTCTATTTGGTTTACTTAGTCCTGCTTCGGTGCAGGCGGATGGACTTGATGACCTCTCAAGGTCACCTTCTAACCCTACATTTCTATGATTCCATGAATATTGAATAACCTCAGAGCTTGGAGTATGGTGAAGCCCAGAAAGAAGAAAAGCAAAAGGGTATAGAGGACAAGTCTTCAAATGGGACTAGAAGGTTTGTATAATGTTAGTTTACAGTCCCAGGGAATCTAATGTAAATATTTTTTAAAGTAAAGAAGAGTAACAGAATAACAGCAGCTCTGTCTGGGAAATGTAATGGTAAAATGGAGGGTACACCATATAACTGAGAGGACTTTTGATATTACAGTTTTCAAGCCACTTTTTTCTTGGTTGGGAGAGTGGAAATACCACCTTTGGACTCCTTCCACTAAGGGTATTATTTATTATTTGCATTATGATAGCTCTCAGAGCTTGATCCTTCTTGGGAGTGCATTTTGCTAGATGCTGTACAAATATAAAATAAGACAGCTCCTTCCCCAAAGAGCTTGCAATCTAGTCCTGCTTACCTAAAAAAGTGTCCAGATATGGAGGTTTTGAACACCAACTCCCATGTTCCCAATGGAAGAGAGAGGAAACTCTGTAAGGCTATTTTAGTCCCTTAGATGAATTTTTCCTCAAGATGCTTCAAAAGTTGGATTTGCAAGAAGTGAGTCACCCAAAGTTAGACTATTTTTGAAAATCCCAGCCTAGAGCTTTAAATATGGCCCTGATCAACACACAGGGATTTTCTGGTGTTTAAATCGAATCCTTTTTTAGGGGTGACCCAGCTATGATTGTAGACACTTCTGTTAATAAATATGATAATTCTACTGAAATAAAACAAATATTCCTTGTGGTTATTCAGGGGCAGGAATTAATTTCCATTTTCCACTCTTATGTCAAGCTTTGACTACTCTGAAGGACCTATAGGAATATAAAATATCGAGAGTATTCATTTTTGCTGTAGTAGGAAAGCTAACCAAACATGAAACAAAATGCATACTTTATTTTAAAGAAGCATTTTATTTTTGGGTAGCTTTGTGTATGAGCTTCAGCCTAGTATTATAAACCGTGTGTAAAAAGTAAGTCTATAGGCGTTAATATTTGCATCTCATGTCTTTATAGTGCCATCACCGCTTAAAAAAAACCAAAAAACGCTTTTCAAAACTTCACAACTACCAAACCACAGAAGTAGTCTTTGCACAAAAGCTTTCATTACAATGGCAAAAATACAAGTGTAAACCTTTTTAGCGAATTATATAAATACAATATTTACTTTGAAATGTTAGGGGCCACACCTACAACCCAGTAATAGGACTACCTAAGTGACAAAGAACTGCCCATACTACACAGGGTTTTTGGAATCTGGTCCTTATTTAACATAAAGATCCTTAATAGCTTACATAGCCTTGTTACTATATCCTCTGATCCAAATTCTAGTCTCACTTCCACCAATACAACCCACTGATGTCAATGCATGGGTGGAATCAAAAGCAGAATCTGACCACATCCTGACCACAGAAGTACTGCAGAAAGGGATCTGGGGGTCATAGTGGATCACAAGATAAATATGAGTCAACAGTGTAATGCTGTTGCAAAAAAAGCAAACATCATTCTGGGATGTATTAGCAGGAGTACTGTAAGCAAGACACGAGAAGTAATTTTTCCACTCTACTCCAGCCTTATTAGGCCTCAACTGGAATATTATGTCCAGTTCTGGGCCCTACATTTCAGGAAAGATGTGGCCAAATTGGAGAAAGTCTAGAGAAAGAGCAACAAAAATGATTAAAGGTCTAGAAAACATGACCTGTGAAGGAAGATTTAAAAAATTGGGTTTGTTTAGTTTGGAGAAGAGAAGACTGAGAGGGGACATGATCACCATTTTCAAGTACCTAAAAGGCTGTTACAAGGAGGAGGGAGAAAAATTGTTCTTCTTAACCTCTGACAACAGGACAAGAAGCAATAGGCTTAAATTGCAGCGAGGGAGGTTTAGGTTGGACATTAGGAAAAACTTCCTAACTGTTAAGCACTGGAATAAATTGCCTAGGGAGGTTGTGGAATCTCCATCATTGGGGATTTTTAAGAGCAGGTTGGACAAACACCTGTCAGGGATGGTCTAGATAATACTTAGTCCTATCTTGAGTGCAAGGGACTGGACTAGATGACCTCTCGAGGTCCCTTCCAGTTCTATGATTAATAGGTTACATTATCTTTCAACATTACATCATCTGCTATTGCGTTTGTTCTCTGAAGGCACTCTGATCTTGATTGATCAGCTTAAGATTCTTTGGGCCTGCCTTTCTGTAGTGCTGAGCGCCCACAGCTCCGTTGACCTTAAAAGGATTTGCAGGGCTCAGTACTTCTGAAACTCAGGCCGAAGGGGCTTCAAAAGTTGGGCTCCCAAACACTGAGACATGCAAAAATTAGGGACCATTTCTGAAATAGTTGCCCTAGAACTTTAAATATGTCCCTGATCTAAACACAATCCACAGGTAATACAGCCACTTTTAAAAACACAAAGAATGGAAGTTATTCCACACATTAAATGTGATTAGTCACTAATAACAAATTCTTATTTTTAATCTAAGTCTTCATTGTCTGCAGTCTCATGGCCTCTCCCCCAAGATCCTCAGCTCTAAATCAGAGGATTAAATGTGGTCCAGTCTGATTTTTATACAGTGTATGAGAGATCCATTCATATTCTGGCTTGTATCGTTCCAACACACCTGGACTTTAAAAAAAAAACCCAGCAAAAATATAAATTCATTCATATTAAACAGGCTTTGTTCATGGCATTTTTGTTGTAAAAATTTGAAACTGAAATCTATTTTCAGCCACATTTCCCACCCAATAATGTCCAGAATTCACATGTGCATGTGATCTTGCCCATTGGCCCAGAAGGTGGGAAAAGGACTTATTACTTCCAGCTAGTGCAATCACTCCTGCTACTCAAGTAGTAGTGGCTTGTGCTTTTGGTAGTGTTCTACCTCTGCCAACAACCCATGGTGGGGGCAGTTGCACATGCACACCATGGATTGCTATTATAGACTTGCCCTTGACTGCCAAATTGCTGGCATTAACTTGTTTTAAGGGCGTATAGAATTATTTGTGCTGAAGTGGGGGGAGGGGTATGTATGAATTGGTATATACATTTTGTAAACAGAGGGAGCAAACAGGGCACATTTCTGGCCTACCAGCCCCAAAAGTATCCTGCAGGTGTCTAGCAAGGAGAGTTCCATTATATTGTTTGTATTTTGTTTCCATGCATAGAAAGTCTCTCTCAACAAGTTTATTCCTCTTATAGGGAAAACAATCTCTTGTACTTGAAAAAAGAAAAAAAAAAAGCACAGAAAGTTTTTTTCTTCAATACAATGTATTTTCCCTTTGGGTAATTATTTACAAGGACTTCACGTAACACTGAGGAGTTTGGGCTTTGGAACAGAGTGAACATATTCAATGATCTTCTGTTACAAGCCACTCCCCTCCTACCCCATATCTCTTAGGAAAAGTATATCCCAGGTTAGCTCATGAGTTTCCTTTGCCACTGATAGTCCCTTGAATAATGCTGTCTTCAATATATTGACCGGTAGTATCTGTGCTCCTGCTGAGCACTGTTGAAGGAATCCTTGAAGATCGTCTCTCCTGGTTTTTATCATCAGAAGAGCAGCACATGATCCGTCTCATGGTGTTGGACATTTCATCATCTTTGTAAGAGTAAATGACTGGATTCATGACAGAGTTGAGCAAGGCCAGGAGAAGGAACCATCTTTTCACATGCTGAACCCCACAATGAGTGCAGTTCAGACCATCAAGCAGCAGAACCACCAACCCAGGGGTCCAACAGACAACAAATGCACCTAGAGAAAGAAAAAAGAAAAAGGGGTTCAGACTTGAATAAATCCTGGCTTTGGGCACACAAGTATTTTTCCCCCTCCAAGAGCATCAGATTCATGAAGAACAATATACACAAAATTGTACAGGGAAAAACAACAACAAAAATTACGTCTATTAATTTCCCCCGGAAAGCACTTAAAATGTAAGAGCTTAGCATTTGAAAGATTACAGAGAGCATGAACTGGGATGCTAAGAGTCCATTGCCTTTTACAACAGGCAGTGAACGGCCCTTACAACACTAATTTGACTTCTGACTAGAAGACACAAATGGGGCAAAGAATTCTTTGGCACAATAAAATTGAGTTGATGCAACTGGTGCTTTGGCAGGTAGAAGGAACTCCTCTATTAATCGCATCTCTACTCTGTATGCTGGAGGGAAAGAGACCGTCATGCTACACCCCAAAGAGATGGCAAATCTACTGCCTGTTAAACAGACTACAGCTGATTGTGTTTGCAAAGTATGCTGCTAATTTCATCCAATAGGAAAGCACGTACTTTAAATATGTGCAGGTTCAAAATGGCCCAGCTACCCCAGGCTGCAGTGCTCACTGTGGTGGAAGCAGTATTGAACCCCAGAACTTTTTTGGTACCCTGCCACACCATTCCATACTGGGAACTGTCTCTCCTCTCTCTTCGCAGCCCACTCTATGATCTTGTCTATGGGTGCCAAGGCTACGGGCATATTTCCCTGCAGGATGAGGTGCATGCCAAGTACCTCCCTCATCTCCCTACCTATCCTTCTCCACAGGGCTCAGCACACTGAGGTAGAGGGACCAGGGAGCAACTGAGCCAAGAGGGAGTTACGGAGGAGATTTTGAGAAAGGGATCCTGGGGGTTGAGTGGAGAGATGAGGGTTGTGAGGGGAGGAATTAAGATCTAAAGTGGGGGAAGGGGAAAAAACAGAAGAGATAGAAGATATAAAGGGAGGTGAGAAATGGGCTGGCCAGGAGACAAAGGTCACCAGAAAGAGGACAAATCAGGAGTAGCAGAGGAAGAAATGCAGCTAGATCCCAACATGGGGGGGGGGGGAGGAAGAGAGAGAGAGAGAGAGAGAGGAGGAGAGAGAGAG